ACAAATGCAAATTTCCACGCTAATCGGACGCCGCGATTTACTGCCAAGTGTACTTGCTCGCCGCACTTTGTTGACAAGCGTCACGTTGCTATGTACCGAATCGACGAAAAATGTCAACGTACTTGCCCGCAACGTGATTGTGTTTATAATATTTCACAATCATTGGCGAAAGGGTCCGAGGCGATTCCCTGTGAACTCTGAGGATTCTATTTATTATTTAAATCGGAAATTTGTCGTAACACGAAAACAACGACTGCATTTAGCAGATAAAATAAGCTTTTCAATTATTGTAAGGTTCTTTAATATGATTGGCTTATATTTTTACGTTTAGAACCGGCGTTAAAGGAATGAGAACTAATCATATCAAAGGATCTTGTAATAGTTGCAAAGCTGCTTTCGCTGAAACGCAGTCAATGTTTCCAGAAATAAAAAATAATGACAAAAGAGAGCGAAAAGGGAGAAAAAAGAATTTGCAGAGACGAGCTTAATTCACGTACTCTTTAACATTACACATACGGGAAGTAAAAAAGGTTTGTCGGTAAGTTGTTTAATCTCCTGATGCTACTTAGTATTTATCTTAATTTACGTTTTATGTAAGTCGAATTTACATTCTACAAGTTACATCAAATACGTGTTGCGTAAACTTTACAAATGTTCGCGAACAGCGAGTGCATCGAATCGAGTATCCGACACGCCTCCACGTTGCGACTTAATGTGAATTTGTACGCAAATTTACGTCGGGTATATTAGACTGACAGATAAACGGAGGTGGACACGGCGGATGCGACGACGAATTAATCGCGAACGCGTCTACGAACGATAATAAAGCTATCAACCGACGAAATATCAGACTCTCGCGCGCGCACTAAAGACCCGACCGGATTCTCTCTTTGCGGAGCAAACACTCGGGAAATCGCGTCTAACGACGACAACGACGGCTTAATATGCCTCTTATTTGTCCTCGTCGGCGGCAAATAAAAGAAGAAACGCGCGAGCGCTCTTTAAGCCCCTTTAAACCCAAAAAATCGGAGCCCCGAGCGGGATAAGTGTTTCTCGATTACATGTGACTCTCTCTCTCTCTC